TCTAAGGTTTAAAAAAAAAGTAAAATAAGGTTAATCTTCTTATCTGGCTGAATTGGAATTCCTGTAGTTCCAAAGTTAAAATTTCAAGTACGTAAGATTATTTTTCACCTCTTTTCTTGTAGACAGACAAAGTATAGATCAACAGCTGCCATATTTCATCTTAATGAAAGTTATATGCCAATATTTACGAAAAAGGATCTTAGATAATTTCCCTATGTTATGTAGCTTAAGTTTTTGAAAACAGCATTAATAACTCTGGCTGACTAGCTAACTATAACAGGAAAGTGAATATAAGTTTTGACAATGATGAGGTTTCCCAATGAAAATAAAAATTTCCAGTTGAGTGAATATAATTACTTTACTGAAAAGTCTAACAGACATCAGCAGAACTTGTTCTGAGTCAATTTCTCACTATCAGTTATCTTTCAAAATTTGTGCCAAGTATCTACCCATTTCCTTCTGTCTAGACTCTGACCCTAGACTAGTTTGTTTGAAATATGGAATCACTCAGAGTAATGCATATAAATTTTAGTTGTATTAAAAAACAACTGTGTGAATAAATAAAGTGGATTTTCAAGATAGAGTGATATATCTGCAAAAAAAATAGTTAAATTCAAAAAAATTGGGGGAGGGAAAATATTACTCTTTAAAAATAATAAAAATGGCAATAGTATAGCATCTAGCTTCCCACTCATGCCACACGATATGCCTTCATTAAGGTGTACTCTTTCTGGTTGGTGTGAGCTGCCCAGATGAAGAGAGCAGAAGCCATGAACTGTAAGGGAGCTGAGACGCAAGCCAGGCAGAAGGACCATCCAAATTCACCGGACACATTCTCAGGCAGCTTTAGCTTCTGGTGAAGTAGCTCAATCCCAGCAACATAGCAACTCACTGAGCCCAGTGTGCACAGACCTTGGAGGAAAATGTAGAAAACAAAACAAGGCTAGGTAAGAGCACCATAAGAGCTTTTCAGGCAATGTGACAGAGCAGTAATATGTGAATGTTTAGAATTATAACTCTTTGGTCTCTAGGGAGACCGAAAGAAGATAAAATGCTAAATCTGATGACAAGACCTACCTGCAAGGAGATGGAGAATGCCTGTGGCAATGGCGGGGTACAAACTTCGGCAGATACAAGCACAAAGCCCAATCAAAGCCCCAAAGCACATCAAACCTAGACTAACAAAAGGTAAAAGGAACTGGCAACGCCAAAGATCTGGAAGAAAAGAAGAGAGGAAAAACATGTTACCATAATTCCAGACAGTTTTCCCACAATGGAAATTTCTTTCCTATTCTATGTAGATCTTTTCTCAAAAATGAGAAAGGAATATTGAGATTTGTTTTGTAAAGCACACTGTTCAAAAAAATGCTCACTCTGTCCTGATAAATGTAAAAGTAAAAAGACAGTAAAAGTTAACTACTGACCTCAGCGGGACAGGTCTTACTAAGGGTCAGGCACTGTTCCATAGATGCTCTGTGTACTAACCCTCCCAACATCCCTACAAACTAGTAAGAGCCAGCATTTGAGGCAAAACATTCTGGCTCTACATATAAGCAAATATAAGTCCTCAGAGCATCTCTGGCAGTTATAACAAGTCAATAAATGTTGATGATAAGAAAAAAACAAACAAAAAACTGTTGAAAGATTATACATAAAGTGCAAAGTAGAGGATCTGGTATATACCAGGACTCAATAAAATGGGAGATTTGTTGTTGTTTGTTTTTTTAAATCCTCACCCAAGGTATTTTTTCCACTAATTTTTAGAGAGTAAAAGGGAGGGAAGGGGGAGGTGGAGAGAGTAACATCGATGTCAGAGAGACATATCAACTGAGAGAAACATCGATGTGAGAGAGACACATCGAATGGTTGCCTCCTGCCCGTGCCCCCACCAGGGCCAGGGATTGAACCTGCAACCAAGGTACATGCCTTAACTGGAAATCAAACCCATGACCCTTCAGTCCTCTGGCAGATGCTCCAACCACTGAGCCAAACTGGTCAGGGTGATAAATGGCAGTTTTAATTATCATAAGTTCCTTCAACCACATGGGAAGAAAGCTGGTGACTTTACAGAGCATCCTATTCCATTTTTAAATTATTTTAATTAACAGCAATGTATCAATATCAACACCAAACCACATCTACCTTCTAATGCTAGCTTTACTTCTAGAACTACATAAAAGTTTTTCTCTTTCCTTCAAACTGTTAAAATAAATAAAATAACCTTCTTCCTATGCATTTGCCAGGCAAAATTAAGTACTTGCCATTTTATTAAATGTTTCCTCTCATGACACGGTCATTCTTCTAGGCAAGCTCTAATAAGTCTTTATAGATTGGAAACTAGGTTCAAATCTAAAGACAGTAGTTCCTGGGTAGTCTGACCCTCAAGGAATAATAAATACTCCTAATAAATACTTTCATTTATTTTTGACACCTACAATTCTGTTACTATCACCTAAGACTGGATTAACACTTGGGGCAGGCCTGACATTCAATTGACTCATATAGAACTTACAGTCAACTGTGTTCACACATTCCTAACTGAACTCAGGTAGCTGAAGTGTTTAACTCAAATACAGGAATTTACTACTTATCCCTCTTTAAATTTAAATTTCCTCTTTAAATGGGCTCACTAAAAATACCTTTAGAAGGGTCTGGATTCTGTCATCCAATGTGTTATTTTTCCTCTTTCAACTTCCTATTTGCAATTTAGTAAGTGTGCACCTAACTTCTAAAATATGTTATGAACAGATCAGAGTTTGTCACTGTTAGAGATCTTATTTCAAGTTGACACAATATAATAACCCATCTTGTTCCAAAATCAGAGTTCATAAAAAGGCAAACTTATTTCCTATTTTTCCCTAATTGTCCTGCTGATATCAAAGTACTCACAGGTTCGAAGCAGATCAATCCCAGTATTGTGGTTTCCAGGCTCAACAAATTTCGCCATAAACTGCTCATTTAGCGTGAAACTCGTGCATCTTGTGACCACATCAAATGATTCTGGAACAAGAATAACAGTGATTGCTTGCTGTTTTAATACTAAGCATTTAACAAAAAATCTCTTTCAAGTAACTATTCTTTGAAATAAAAAGTGATAGAGATGTTCGCAGAGGAGACAGCAACATCTTTAGCTCTGACATGTAGGATCAATGCCCAATAGATACCAGTAGTTCTCAGCAGCAGGCTTAAGACCTGGGCACAAGAAAGGGGGGGAAAGTAGGAGCAGTAAAAGCAATGAGAATAGATATGTAAGAAGACTAGGAAGGAGGAGGAGCAGGGGACAAAAACAAATAAATAGGAACTTTGATCTTCTTCCCTCCCTTACTCCACCAGCCATCTTCCCCATTTCAGGTAATGACAATTCTACCCTTCCAGTTCCTCAGCCTAGAAAGTTTAGTCATTCTTGTCCACATGCATTCCATCAGGAACTCCTAGAGGCTCTACCTTCAAAATATATCTAGAATCCAGCCAATGCTCAGCACTACCACCCTGGTCTGAGTCACAATCATCTCTCACCTGAATTAGTGCATAAGCCTAATTAGTCTCCTGGCTTCCACCTTTGCCTGCCACCTGTATTCAACATATCAGCCTAAGTGAGCAGATCATCTCTCCTCTGCTCAAAGCTCCCCAATGACTCCATCACATAAAAGCCAAAGTCCTCTTCATGCCTAGAGAATCCTGCATGATTTGCTCTACTCCCCCTCCAAGAGTACTGTCTCTGCTAGAATACCCTCTCCCTCTCCCTCCATTCCAGTCAAGTGGTTTCCTCACTGGTCCTTGACTATTTTAGGCATCCTCCCAACCTAGGGCTTCTCAGTAGTTGTTTCTTCCAACCTAAATGATCTCTGTCTCCACAACGACCTATTTGGCCAACACCTTCATCTATATCAAGTCTTTACTCAAGTGGTGTCTTTTGCTGGAGCCTATACTACTTGAATATTGTAACTTATCCCATCAACATCATGTTTTTCCAACTCTCCTTTATTTTGCTATATTTTAGCATGTGTCATTTTCTAACATTTTATATAATTATTTATTGCTTATACTGTTATACCTATGTTTATTGCCTGTCACACCTTATTAGAATGTAAGTAGTTTCTCCAGAGTAAGAATTATTTTTATTTTTCCTGATGTACTCCCAGCTTCTAGGCCAGGGGTGGGCAAACTTTTTGACTCGAGGGCCACAATGGGTTCTTAAACAGGACCGGAGGGTTAGAACAAAAGTATGGATGGAGTGTTTGTGTGAACTAATATAAATTCAAAGTAAACATCATTACATAAAAGGGTATGCTCTTTTTTTTTTTTTTTTAGTTTTATTCATTTCAAACGGGCCGGATCCAGCCTGCGGGCCGTAGTTTGCCCACGGCTGTTCTAGGCTCTGGAATACGGAGACAGACAATAAATATTTGTTGAATGAAGGATAGATAGTTGCTAAATTCAAATATCAAGTACTCCTATGCTCTAATAGTTAAATGTTTTACAATAAACTTTAACCTACTTTCCCCTCTTACAAACTACTTTTTTTTTTTCCATATAAAATCACAACATCCATCTTCTGATGTATGGCAACTCAAGCCTGTTGTGCTGGGATCTGAATACAGTGATTCCCACCAACAGGCCAACAGAAGTAGTCACAAATTAAAAAAAAACACACACACTCAAAATGTAAAGCTGTTCTTTACAAAGAGCTCTAAAGTTTCCATTTTAGTAACTGGAAATTAAAATTTTTAAGTGTTAAGAATGCTTGCAAAATAAACGTGAGAGTCAATTTCTTAGGTTATTTTTCTTCTGACATCTTTAATCTATAAGCTCTATCAAGATTGTTGTAAAACAGTCCTGACTGGTGTGGTTCAGTTGGTTGGGCGTTGTCCGAAGCACTGAAGTGCTGCTGGTTCAATTCCTGGTCAGAACACATGACCAGGTTTCGGGCTTGATCCCTGGTAGGGGACGTGCAGGAAGCAGCTGATTGATGTTCTGCTCTCATGTTGATGATTCTCGCTCTCCCTTCCCCTCTCATTAAATATCAATAAAAAAAATCTTTTTTTTTTTAAAAAAAGGTTGTTGTAAAACAGTCTCAAATATGCACAGATATAAATGTAGAGTTGGTCAAATTATACTCTCTGAGATTCAGAGGGCAAATGATAATACCTACTAACACAGCTAACATATAAAAGAACTATCAATTCATATTTGTTGATCTAATTCTGGATACTAGTCCTTTTTACCAGTTACTAAGTGTTTAAAGTCCTATTTGTACTTTTCCATTTATTTCCCCAGGATGTGTGAGATGAATAAAAAGGCTTTTAATAAACAGGTATATAAGTACAAAGATTTAAAATGTCTTTCTCAGGATAAGGACAGTTACTCACCCAACCAATATTTATGAGTACAATGGTAACTCATGAAAGGCGGGGGTAGAAGATGGTATGGAGAGAAAAACACAGATTTATTTCTTTGAGGAAAGAACTCCCAAACCAGTTATACATAATTGGGTCATCATCATATCACCTGGTTCCTATTTGAACAGGTAAAGGAGACAGCAGTTAAAACGAGGAATACCTGTCCTTTCTTGGTTATTCCAATATATGTTCTGGGGTATACTGACACACCGTCTCCACAATCCCATTGTGCCATTATATCGAAAAAGCACATCACTGTACGTCTTTTCATCTGCTTCATCACTAGCAAAGTCGCTCCAGAGGCTTTTGTTCAAATCACTGGAATTTTCTTGAACTGGACTTCGATATTCATACCAGAAGTCTGTGCCAATTGAGGCTGCCATGTAGATGGTGGAAATGAGGCTCAGCACACAAGCAATTACAAATGCTGTAGCGAAACGGTTATCCATTCTGGCATTCACACTGCTCTGTATGAAAATGGAAGAAACGTTAGACTCAACCAAGGACAAATAAACATCATTTTGAAAGAAATTATCTCAAAATCGCCCTTTATTTCCCATCCTTTGGCTATTGGGACGAATGTCTACTCATGAAGAAGTTTTTTTGTTTTTTTTTTAAAAAAAGCATGTTTTAAATTAAGTTCAAAACAACAGTCAGCATGAAAGTACTTATTGAAAGTTCACATACCCAGGACGCTATGGAGACAGAGGTCTTGTTCTCTAGTCTCTCACCTGCACACTAAAACAGACAACACTGAAAAGGACGGACACGTTACAGATGCAGACAGCACACATGCCCAGAGTCAGCCATGCACCCTGCGTCAAGTTTCAATCACAGACTGAGTTTTCACACGAGAGGCAGCGCATGAAGGGTCCCGGGTCGGGGTGCGGGGAAAAGGGCATAGGAAAAGGAAGCAGAGGAAGGAAATCCGCTCCTCCCCGTTCCCTCTCAAGAGGGAAACCTAAAAACCACGTTGAGAATCAGGAACCTGGCGTGGAAGGTATCTGTGAACCCACAGAGAAAGGCTGTTTTCGGTGCAGAGAACGGCAAGGAGGACAAAACCACGCCGAGGGCTGGATCTCCACCTGCCCTGACCCAGGAACGCGAAGCCGGGCACGTTCCTCGCTCCCACTGCTCTTCCCAATCCCGACACTCCTGCACCTCCCTCCTCATCTGCAAACTCAGTGAACTCTCCGCCGCCGCAGAGAAAAGTATGCACTAGGCAACAGGAAGGCGTGGACGCGGGCTCCGCGGCGGCGGTCGATGGC